CTTCCCGAGGCACCAGCGAGTTCCAGGGAGAGCAGGGCAGTGGAAAAGAGGGTGAGAGTGTGGGGGAAGCGGCTCCGGGCAGCGGCAAAACGCGGGGATGGATGGGCAGCGCCCAGCTCGGATCCCTCCCCGTGTCCACCCGGGAGATCGCGGCACATTTTGGGTTGGTTTGTGCTCGGATCGGGRGTTGAGGCTCACCCCAGACCCGGCACAGCATCACCCTCTCACAGCCCCAAAAGGCGATGCTGCGACAGAAGCATCACCTGGAACAGCTCCAGGGCACTGCCTCTCCAAATCTGGCGGATTTTCCCTTTTTATTCTTTTTTCCCAGCCCCAGCAGGGATTCTCCAACCCCATCCCACCCCTCAGCCCCACAGACACAGCTCSTGCAGCTGTGAAACTGGGCAGACCCCGGGGACAGAGGGACACCGGCCTGAASCTGTTGCTGACTCCAGAAAAGCTTTCCCCAACCCCGCAGAGGCAGCGGAACAGAAACTGGAGTGRGGAGAGGAACAATTTCCTGATTTACACCTTGGCACGGACCCACAGGGCGAGCGAGGAGGGAAGGGAGCATAGCCCTGAGCTGGGGGGAGCTGGGAGAGTTTCAAACCTGTAGCAGCCGAGGCAAAGACCCCCTGTTCCCCACAACACCCCCAAAAAGCTGTGACAGGCTCGTCCTTCCTTCCCCTTGCGCTTTTCCCTGGGAGCACTGAGGATCTTTGAAGAGCTCACGCATTTCCTGCCACCCTGGGATCCAAGGGGTCCCTGAGAGCTTGGGGTCACCCTGGGTGCAGCCCCCAAACAGCCCCAATGTGGCAGGAGGTGTTGTGGGGTTGGGGTTTGCGGGGAGCCGCTGGTGGGGTTTGTGGGGACACTCTTTGGGTCTCGCCCCAAACTCGGAATAGAAAAGGATGCAAAAAGCACAGAAATATGGTCCAAACCACACTGCTCACTCTGATCAGGCCTCAAACATCGCATTTTGGGGCAGAACTTCATGAAGACGTTTGAATTCCCCAAGAACCCTTGGCAAACCTGCCCCAAGCCCAACTCTTCATTCTCTCCACCCATTTATCCCAAGCCACATCTGCAGAAACACCTGGGAAGAAGCTCAAGGCTCTGTCCCTCAAGGCTGTCATCGTTTCCCACCACACCCAGGCCCAGGTGCCACCACCCAGTGAAGCCACAACTGCACGAGGGGTTGTGCTCTGCTAATTAGCAGAGTTAATTAACGGAGCTGGTGTCCCAGTAACTTGCCCTGGGACTACCCAGTCACTGGGATTGCTTTAGGAATGGGTTTGCTGCCAATAAAAGAGGGTTGTGTGACACCCAGGGMCATTTTGCCTGCTCCCCACAGGAGCTGCTGCCAGATGGGATGGGGTGAAGCAGGGGGGCAGCAGAGCCCAGGGACATGCTGGGGTTGGTGACAGAGGCCTGGCACACAGCTCGTGTGGCATCCTGTCCCCATGCAAATGTGGGCTGGTCCTTGCCCCCCCCAGCCAGGCTCTCCCCCATCTCCAGGGGATGCTCACGTGGCCGTTCCCCGCATGCTCAGGACACGTGCGAGTCACTGCCCTGCACTGACAGCAAGAGCCAGAGTGAAAATCAGCTGCACGGTGCTCCACCGAGCCAAAAATCACTGCTGTGCCATGTTCATGTGCTGATGGAGGAGGTGGAGATTTTGAGGAGACACTCAGATGTGGCACTTGGGGACATGGGTCGAGTGCTGGGGAGGTTGGGCTCGTAGAGATCTTTTCCATCCCAAAAAATTCTGTGTTTCTACCCTGACCAATCTCCCTGGCTGGGCTCATCCTGCCTCCCTACCCCTCCATCCAAGGAAAGGGATGCCAAGGCTGCCAAGACAGCCCCGTGCCAAGCTGCCTGCACCCGGCAGGACACATTTTTGGGAGCTGCTGATCCAGACCCGAGTGCTGAGGTGAGATAAAGGGTCTGAAGCCATCCCTGGCAGGCAGGGAGTGAAGCTGGAAGACACCRCAGGAACAAAAAACACATCCCACACAGGAATCCACAGCTCAGGCTCCTCCAGACTCAGGTCYAAGGGCTGCTGGGCAGGGCCAGCTCTTCCCTTGGAGCTGCCCCAACCCCACCAAGTCCCAGAGACAGGGTTGAAGCACAGTGAACACTGAGATCTGCGGTTCATTCCTGAAACAGCTCCATCTCCTGATTCCCACCGCTCACACAGACACCGGTACCTGCCCCAGGATCTGACAGATGGCCATCAGYGAGTCGGGCTCGGAACCAAGCTCATCTCAATTTGCAGAGCTGCCAACATCCCAGTACCAGAACAAACAGCCTCAGCAGGAGATAAATCAGGGGCGAGGGAAGAGGCGCCTCTGCGGCTCCCYGTGGCTTTTGGCTGGAGGCTGCTTTGCCCCCTGCTCATCTCTGGTCATCTCTGGTCACCCCTGACCATACTGGAGCATTTCCCTGATCTCCCAGGACAGCCTCCCAYCCTTCRGTCCCACAGCCCAAGCAGGACACCRAGATGCTGAGGTTCCCTATTCCCAAAAAATCTCAAGCACCACTGGAGCCCCTCTGGACACCGGATCCAGCTTTCTGCAGGTGAAACACCATTCCAGCACCATGGGGTTAGTGACCCGTGCACACCTTGTGTTTTAAAGTGTAAAAAGAGCTCTGACATCTGCAGGGAAGACACCAGGACAGCCCAAGAACAATCACTAAAGTGCCCTTTCAAAGACCTGCCGCTGCCACTATGCACGGACAGGAACCTCCCGGTCTCCTGCAGTTTGGGAACAAGTGAAAGCAGCTCTGGATCCCCAGCTGTTAGAGCTGCTCCATCTCTCCTGTCCTCAGTGGGGGCAGACTCAAATGCTTCAGGTGGAACCTGACCTCAGCAGTTTCTAAGGAGAAAGATCAGCACAGGTTTTCATCCCTCCCCTCCATCCCTTCCAGTCCAGCATTCCCCCTCCCAGTCTGGAGTGGGACTAAAACCCTCTCCCCTCTCCACATTAAGAGTTCTTTAAAAAAAAAAGACCAAATTCACAGAAAAAGGTACTTCCAGGGCACAAACACAAGGCATTTCAAGCAGGTATTTACCCCAAGGAGGAGCAAAGCTTTTCCTTTTTGTCCTCTTTCCGAGGCTGAGCAGCAACATCAAAGAGAATCCTCGATTTCCCAGGAGRAAACAACCAAATCTCTGCTACAGCTGATAAACGTGATTGCCCCAAACACCTCCCTGCATCCCGTCCAGTCTGCACCATCCCAAACAGTTCCAAAAGTACAAACCCTCGAGGCTCTCCCAAACACCAACAGGTCCTGGGGAGTAGCTTGGAGATGCAGCAGAAGGGAACACCATCCCTCTCCAAGGCATCCCTTGGTATCCAGGAGGTGGAAACAGGTCAGCTCTGCAGCTGAAGCATCCCACACCCCCCTGGACACACAAAACTGGACAACTGAGCTGTATCCTAAGAATTATCCCAGCAATCGAGGGTGCAGCTGGATTTTGTGGTGCTGGATTTACCCTCTTTGGGGCAGGAGTGCTGTGAGAAGGGCAGAGGAGCAGAGAAAGTGGTGAGCCGGCTGCAGATTTTGTTTCGTCACGGGAAGAAGAGTTTTGTGTTTTCCTGACTCATCTCCCCCTCTGTTTCCCATGGAAAACCTCAACACTCAGCACAGCTCCCGTTCCAAAGCCAGAGGAGCCTTTCTGGCAGCCCGGAGCTGCTGGCAAAGCAGCACTGACACATCGCAGCTCCCCACGCTCGAACCCACCACAAAGGACACCAAAAGAAAAGCCTCTGCGTTTTTTTACTAAAAACCTTTTTGTCACCTTCAGTCACAACCTCACCATGTCCCCAGGAGTGAAATCCTGCTGGGATAGGACACACCCTGCCAGGAATGGGGGATGGAGGGGAACTGGGAAAGCCTAAGGCTGGAGCGATCTTCCACTGGGAACAGACGTGGAAAGGGAATTTTGATGGGACAAATTCACACCACCCAGAGGTGAGTGGGTGAAACCCAGGGGGAAGAGCTGCAGGGGCAGAGATTGGAGCACTCTGTCCCCAGCACGGCCAGAGTGGGGTCACTGACCCCAAATGGGGGCGAGCAGAGAGGAGAAAACAGAATGTGGAGCCAGCACGGAGAGATGTGGTGGAGGGAGGTGAAGAGGATGGAGAGACAGGAAGACATGGATTTGGGGAACAGAGGATGAGGATTTGGGGAGCAGATCTGGATTTGGGGAGTAGAAGACATGGATTTGGGGAGCAGAGGATGAGGATTTGGGGAGCAAAAGATGAGGATTTAGGGAGCAGATGTGGATTTGGAGAGTAGAAGACATAGATTTGGGGAGCAGAGGATGAGGATTTGGGAAGCAAAAGATGAGGATTTAGGGAGCAGATGTGGATTTGGGGAGAAGAAGACATGGATTTAGGGAGCAGACGGTGTGAATTTGGGGGGCAGAGGATGAGGATTTAGGGAGCAGATGAGGATTTGGGGAGCAAAGGACGTGGATTTGGGGAGCAGAAGATGCAGATTTGGGGAGCAGAAGATGAGGATTTAGGGAGCAGATGAAGATTTGGGGAGCAGAGGATGTGAATTTAGGGAGCAGATGTGCATTTGGGGAACAGATGTGGATTTAGGGAGCAGATGTGGATTTGGGAAGCAGAGGATGTAGATTTGGGGAGCAGATGTGGATTTGGGGAGCAGATGTGGATTTGGGGAGCAGATGTGGATTTAGGGAGCAGATGTGAATTTGGGGAGCAGATGTGGATTTGGAGAGCAGAGTATGTAGATTTAGGGAGCAGATGTGAATTTGGGGAGCAGATGTGGATTTGGGGATAATATGTGGATTTGGGGAGCAGAAGACGTGGATTTTGGAAGCAGAAGATGCAGATTTGGGGAGCAGAGGACAGCCAAGCAGGCAGATGGAGATGACCCGCTCTAAACCACCGTCCTGGAGTGACCCAACAAACTCCACCCACCCCCACCTCCCCTCCCCCAGGTCCGGCTCACCCCTCCAGCCCTACCTTTCTGGATGCCTCCATCCGCTGCACAGGAGAAGTCCCCCGTGGCCAGCAGGAAGCACGTGGAGGATTTCTTGTTCTTGTCCCGGGTGCTGGAGCGCCGCATCGGCCGCTTCTCCTCGTCCGTCGGGGACAGCGGCTGCTCCTCGTCCGACAGCACCACGTTGGCCTCGCCGTTCTGCTTGGAGTCTGCAAGGAGGTGGCACAGACCCATCAGCAGCTGAAAACCCGCAGGAGAAGGGGCTCAGGGTGGCCAGAAGGGGCTCAGGGTGGCCAGAAGGGGTTGGTCAGACCGTGCAAGGAAGCAGCAGGGCATGTTGTGGGTGGCTCAGAGCAACGCCCACCGATTGTGGCACTGATCTCTTTGAGAGCAGCCAGGGGAGCAGGACAAACACAGATATCATTCCAGGCAGTTCTGGTCCTGCTGAGGGTGCTAAAACCTGCTGGGGGTTATAAAACCTGCGTGGAGCCAAAGCTGGGGATGAAACACCCCAGGTTTTTTGAGATCCACCCACCTAATTGGAGGGAATTAGCTCTCCAAAATTCACACTGCTGAGGAGCGCGCTGTTCGGGGTGGTGGGAAGTGCTAATTTATGTCCCCTGGCTCCCCGGTTCGCTGGCTCAGAGGATGCTCTGCCACGTGAGGGCCTGGCCTGGGCTCCTGGCTCTCCCTGCTCCCCACTGCCAGGGCTCCTGGGGCAGGTGGGATTTGCAGGCATGTGAAAAAAAAATGAGATTTAGAAAGGAAAAGAGCTGTGTGGGGCACCCAGAGCTCCCTGTTTGCCCTTCATCACTGTCGAACACATGTGGCCAGATCTGCAGCTGCCCAGGGCTGACCTCAGTGCTGCTGCAGGGCGCAGCCCCACCACTGTGCCTTCTGTTCCAGACACCCTGGAGGTGCCACTGGCAGCAAACTGAGACAAAAGGGGCAGAGAAGTCGCTGACACCAAGGGCAGGGCTCTCACAGACCCCCAAAGTCAGCCCAAGGGACAGTCCCACAGCTGCCCACAGCTGCAGCTGTGCCTTTTCCTGATCCAAAGGAAAGCCTGGCCAACCCATGAGATGAAAAAAGGAATTTCCAGGGACAGGTTTTGCTCAGGATTTGGAGCAGCAGTGCTGCAGGGATTCTGTCTACCAGAAGATGAATGCGGAGGAGGGGTCAAGCCCCAGGGAATGTCTGTGGATTTATCA